ATGCAGGTGCAGGGGCCCAGGCATTTGGGCCATCCTGTACTACCTTCCCAGGCCACAGCAGAGAGCTAGACTGGAAGAGGAGCAGCTGGGACTAGAACCCGGCACCCATATAGGATGCCGGTGCCACATTAACCAAGTGAGCCATGGTGCCAGCCCAGCAACAGGCTTTTGACACACAGAAAATCTAACTTCTATTTTTTTTTGTATCATATTATTTTGGGTGGCTCATTCCTTACTATGGGATCAGTTAAAATTAAGAATGTATTTTCCCTTCCTCCAGGTTACAGAGTCTCACTGCTACAGAAGTGTATCGTGAAAAGAAAACACTGCCCCAACCCATGCATGCGCCATTCCCACTTTGCAGAGGTAATCATGGTAAATTAATTTCCATGTATCCTACTTCCTGTACACGTTTACCCAAACATAGGTATATCTGTTTTGTATTTTTTTTTTTTTTTTGACAGGCAGAGTGGACAGTGAGAGAGAGAGAGACAGAGAGAAAGGTCTTCCTTTGCCGTTGGTTTACCCTCCAATGGCTGCCGCGGCCGGCACGCTGCGGCCGGCGCACCGCGCTGATCCGATGGCAGGAGCCAGGTACTTCTCCTGGTCTCCCATGGGGTGCAGGGCCCAAGCACTTGGGCCATCCTCCACTGCACTCCCTGGCCACAGCAGAGAGCTGGCCTGGAAGAGGGGCAACCGGGACAGAATCCGGCGCCCCGACCGGGACTAGAACCCGGTGTGCCGGCGCCGCTAGGCAGAGGATTAGCCTAGTGAGCCGCGGCGCCGGCCTGTTTTTGTATTTTAATGCACGTGGGATTGTGCTATTCGTATTAAGTGATTTGTAGCTTGTGTTTCTGTATAAGGAGGTCTCCCAGGACAGCTTTCTATGCTGACACATTTTCCTTATGTGTGCATTTTGTAAGAGTACAGTTGCCATTGTATGGGTGTTTTGGTAACTTAACTAGTTCCCTACTGATGGACATTTCAGTTTTTTTTCCTATTAAGTACATGTGTGGTTTTGGTAGTAGCATTTTTGTTCTCATAAACATTATATGATAGAAACTGTTTCCCCACAGCTATTATTAATGCCAGGTAGTCATCTACTTTTCTATCTTTGTTTATAATAGTACTGATAGATTTTTCTGTGATCTGTATGGTACAATATGGTAGCCACTACTCACATGTGACTATTGAGTATCTGAATATTGCTAGTGAGATTGAGGAACTGAATTTTCAATTTCATTTTTAATTGATTAAAATTTAAATTTATACTTGATGTTAGTCAAAAGGCCGAGAAGTGATGAAAAATTTTAATTTAAATAGCCACACTTGGCCAGTGGCTGTTGTTTGGGTCAGGATAGGTCTATATGACAGTGAAAAGTAGAAAACTAGTATCTTATTTAAAATCAAGTTCATGAACTTATCCCAGCGCCTTGTCCCTTTGCTTTTCGCCCCAAAACGGCAAGGAAAGATATCTATTCAGCATCATTCCTGGTACATGTTACTGATGTAGGAGGTGCTAGCACGCACTAAATAAAGATGGTTCACTTCGACTGGCACGATGCTGAAGGATGGAACTCTGTGGCTTTGAGGCTGAGGTGTCTATTCCTCTCAGGAACTCTGCCTTTGTATGGATGAAAGCTGCTATGGGGCAATGGGAAGGGTGCAGTTTGCTTCTGGCTTGTTCCTGATGCTTTTTTTTCCCCTGCTATGCCCCTCCTGCTTTCAGCGGCCCAGTGCCTTTTGGCTTTCTAAGTCCTTCCTGTCACTGAAATAGAAGAGATTCAACTTGGTAGCTCACTTTGGATGCAAAGGGAAATTCTATACCTGGGAGTTGGCTGTACTTTGAGATTTTAGTCCCTATTGTGGAACGAGACAGACTGGTGACTTTCCAAGTCATGTCAAGAATTCAGCCATGGGTACTTTGGTCAGAATTTAGGATAAGAAGCCATTATTTTCTCCAGCCTGAAAACTTGGCATGTCCTTGGCTGGGTTCTGAATCAAGGTGAACACAGTCGCAGCTTTTGTGGTGCTTGGAAGCCAAGGGCATGAGAGCAGCACCTAGGGTGTCACTGCTCGCAGTGGCTGTTATACTTCATCACTGGGTCACTCCAAGGAAAGGCTCTGAAGTGAATATGGAACATGGCCACCTCCCTCTAGCCAGGGACAAAAGCATTGGGGCAGGTGGGGGTGAGGGTGGGGAGGGGGGAGAGTAGGAAGAGTGGGCAGAACAAGGGTGGGAAAGTGTCTCTGTATTGTGGGAGGAGCGAAGACAAAGGAGGCGCTGCTCTGGGGAGTGAGATCTGGGACCTGTGAGTGTACCTGTGCGATATGGAGGAGGAGTGGGTGGTGCATGCTGGGAATACATGTGTATGTATGGGTGTGTATGTGTATGTGTGTGTCTGGGTGCACAGAGGAAGTATGTTTACAGGCACTTGGTGATGTGCAAGATTATTCAAAGATACTCAATATCTAAAAACATTCCCAAAACAGATTTGTGCTCATTGAAGAATTAAAAAAAAAGAATCTAACATTTTAATTTGCACTTTAAAAGCAATATTGATGACTACTACTTCTATCTAATTATGCTGCAGACCACAAGGTGTTATGTTTACCATTAAAAATGTCAGATTTAATGTATCTAGTAAGCCAAGTAACTAGATAATGCCCCACCTTCAAAGTTTACTGCTTTCATAGCATGCTTGTTTGCTTATTCATTCTGCTTTTATCTTTTATCTGTTACATCTGCTACTAAAATGAAAACACAAAGAGGAACTATTGCCCCCATGTGCATAAGTTTACAGAATTTTCAATGTTTAGAGTAAAGGGGTGCTTCAGATGGGCCTGATTCTGCGTATGTGATGATGAAAGGATGGAAGAGCAGGTGACTGGCAAATGGTTAAAAAGGGCCACTTACATTAACGGGTCCCCACAGGGGGAGATTCCTCTTGGGATTCTGGCTCCTTTGTTATAAGGGAGGAAGAGCTGGGTGTTGAAGTCCTAAAGTACTTGCATGCAACACAATGCAAAGTCCAGCTGCATTCACATTCCAGTCTTCCCCTTATCCCTGGGTAGTCCTGGGCAAGTGGCTTTATCCTTTTGGACATCAGTGCTTTTTAAGTGGACAGCAGACTTTGTCAGCAGTGGCACTGCCCACATTATGAGCCAGGTTACTGTTGCATGGGGTTTCCCTGTGCTCTGTAGGATAGTTAGTGTATCCTTGGCATTTACCCAGCTGTGATAGCCCAAAGTATCTCCGGACACCGGCAAATGTTTCCTGAGGGGAAACCTGATCCTGATTGAGAATGGGAAGTTGTACGGAAACAGAACATAAACAATGCTGATCTTGTAATACTGTGCTGAGAGTTAAATGAGATAACCCATATAAACACTTGGCATAGGCAATGATATATGCATGATAAACCCTCAATAAAGTTTTTTTTTTTTTGGACAGGCAGAGTGGACAGTGAGAGAGAGAGACAGAGAGAAAGGTCTTCCTTTGCCATTGGTTCACCCTCCAATGGCCGCTGCAGCTGGAGCGCTGCAGCCGGCATACCATGCTGATCTGAAGGCAGGAGCCAGGTGCTTCTCCTGGGCTCCCATGCGGGTGCAGGGTCCAAGGACTTCGGCCATCCTCCACTGCACTCCCAGGCCACAGCAGAGAGCTGGCCTGGAAGAGGAGCAACAGGGACAGAATCCGGCGCCCCGACTGGGACTAGAACCCAGTGTGCTGGCGCCGCAGGCGGAGGATTAGCCTATTGAGCAGCGGCGCTGGCCAATAAAGTTATTTTTTACAGTTAGCCATGGAAAGAATTCAAATTTTATTTATTTATTTAATTTATTTTGAAAGGCTGAGAAAGAGAGAGAGAAAGGGCAAGGGGGAATTTCTCCTATCCACTGATTCACTCCAAATGCCTACAACGGTCAGGGTTGGACCAGGCCAGAGCCAGAAGCTAGGCTCTCAGTCGAGGTCTCCCACATGGAATACCTGAGCCATCACCTGCTGCCTCCCAGAATGCACATTAGCATGAAGCTGGAGTCAGGAGTGGAGCTGGGACCAGCACCCAGGCACTCTGAAGTAGGACACAGGTTTCCCAAGTGACATCTTCACCACTGAGGCAAATGCCAAATGCTGACTCCCAGAATTGGACCTCTGAAAGGCCTTTCCTCCTAGGTTGGGAAGAGAACAGAGTGGAAGGGAATAGCAGCTGGGTCCATGCGCTAGCAACCCTCATTTATTATCAATCAGCTGGTGGTTTCCTGGCTGCTCCTTTCCCTCGCTCTATCCTGGGAGGAACACATCAAGAGGAACACATCAGAGGAAATCAGAGATAAGAAGAGAGGGTGTCAATTAAAGCGCGTTTTGGTCCCGTGCTCTGTGTCATGGGAAAGACTGTCAGAAAGAGAAAGGCCGGCGTTCTGAATTTCTTCTACAGGGGGGCTGGAGGAATTCTATGGCGAGCCCCCCTTCCAGCTCCTCTGCTCTCTGCTGTCCTTGGTTCCTCCAGCTGCACTGTAGTCATTGCTCTACCTGCTCTTTCGCGTGTCTAGTCCGCCCAATTCACATTCTTTACGTAATGAATAATTTCCAATGAGGCGTAATCGGAGAAGCAGCTGGAAGGAGGAGGGCAGCGGTGAGAGGCCGCGGAGAAAAACGGAAAACAGAGGAAAGGAAAAGAACAGCAGTGACTGAGACATATTTTTCTCACTTTGAGGAAAAGAAAATAATCAAGCAAAAAATTAAACTGTCTATACCTAAAGTTAAAGGTGGCTCATGACGCAGTCTGTGTATAGATCCTTCTATTTGCCTAATGCAAGTGGAACGTTGTGAAAGGGCACCCACCATGCCTGGTGAGCTGTTCAGAAGGATGATAAATACCCAGAGCAGGTGACTCCTCGATCGTTTTCAGCTGCCCATAATTAAACTGGGATCCATCTCTCCACTGTGTCACGGCTGTAAAACAATTCCAGTCATTGGACCCCTTACATCTGTGCTGAAATGAAATAATATTTGGCAGTAACAACGAGTCACTGAAACTAAATAAACAAGCCCTTTCAAGACTACATAAAAGTTGGTAACATAATAACATTTGACAGGGATTAAGACCTCTTTGGGGGCTGTAAGGGAGTTTCAGAAGCAGCAATAACAAATACGTGGAAGGTAGAAAGGACCTATGGGATAACAGACTTGTACAATTGGAAGCGGAATGAATTTCCCGCGGGAGATGTGCTGTTTGAATATCTCATATGTACGGCACACGTCGGAGAGCACAGAGCACTGCAGAAGTGTTTGCTGGCGCTTGCTTGGCAAAGAAGGTAAAAGCAAAGCTTCCTTCTTGTTAAGGGGTGTTTTTGTTTTGCGTACCTTAGACAAAAATAAGAATGGTGTCTTGAGAGGTATTTATTGTTTGGCTTGCAGGTGCATGTTTTGAAATGTTTAGCGCTAAAAGGACAAAGCCCTAGGAGTAATGTTTAATGTTCAAATACTTGTTACTCAGACTAGTTTCGCCCTTATCCAGTGCCGCAACTCCACATAGCCGAACTTTTGTTCTGAGACCTAGTGGTGACCTGAGAGCCTGGACCCTCAGTCCTGAAAGCTCCATCTGTCTCTCGTCCCTTGGTCCGAGCACATACCTTAGAAACTACTTGGAATGACAGCTACCTCCTTTTTCCAGCTTCTTCGTTAAAGCTTAAATCATTGTCTTTTTTTTTTAAAGATTTATTTTATTTGTTTGAAAAACAGAGTTACAGAAAGGTAGAAACAGAGACTGTTTTCCATCCACTGGTTCACTCCCCAGCTGGCCACAATGGCCGGAGCTGCACCGATCCGAAGCCAGGAACCAGGAGCTTCCTCCAGGTCTCCCATGTGGGTGCAGGCTCCCAAGGATTTGGGCCATCTTCTACTGCTTTCCCAGGCCTTAGCAGAGAGCTGGATTGGAAGAGAAGCAGCCAGGACTAGAACTGGCACCTGTATGGGATGCCGGTGCTTCTTGCCAGAGCGTTAACCCACTGTGCCACAGCATCGGCTCCAGCTTAAATCATTTTCCTAAAATCCTGTCTTCAGTCTGAGACCCATAAGACTCAGCTGTCAACCTACCTTATGTTGCCTGCTTAGCTATCTGAACGTGGCTGGTCCCTGAACTTCCTGCTTTACAACACTAGAGCATTAGGTACATCCTTTGCATTTGGTCTGGATACCGTGTTCAACTTCCCAGACCTTCCTGGGGGAGTTGGACTGTTTTTCCAGGTATTTATTCCTGAATATGCCACTCTCTTTGGGGCCTCAACCCTTCTGCCTGGGACAAGGTTTTCTTTCCCTCCCTCAACTCACAGAACCTGGCCTCAACACTCAACTCCCAACAACACCTGCAGTGTGGCATATGCAGGAAACAGGAGTGGCTGGCAGTGCTGGAATCGCCTGCAGTGAGGCTGATACTGGAGGGAGGCAACCAGGGGTGGGACCACTAGCAGCTTGAACAGCATACTAACAGAATTTGGATTTTACCTTGGCAGTGATGGGGAGACAGTGTTTCAGGTAGGCACCAGGCATGATCAGATGTAGAAAGATCTCCCTGTGGGTTGAGGTGTTTCCCTTATCTTCAGCATTTGCTGCTATCCAGCATTACAACCCTAGACTTTCTTAGGTGCCTTGGTGGCCCTCGGCAAACCTCAGACCCCTGGGATGTGTGCTGCAGAGCGAGGCTCTGTGCATTCAGGCCAGCCTGGACTGCAGTTTGTGCTGGGCACGCGGAGGCGCCTACGTTCAGCAGAGCTCATCCAACTTGGCCAGAGGCTGTAGGACAAAGACGGTGGGCACCTCTGGGCGGCCAGGCTGTACCGGCTGCCTTGAGCAGCAGGGCAAGGAGCAAAGCAGGAGTATTTCCTAGCCCTTTCCTGTCACTGTTGCTTTGACAGCAATGTTATCTGGCAAATCTAAAACACAAAACATTTAAGTATTTAAAAAAAAAAAAAACGAAAGAAGGGATTGAAGGATGAACATGGAGGTGAAGGACAACAGAAGAAGGGGTGAAAAGGAGCAGTGCCATGGAGGAGCTGTGGGCGGGTGGGGAGGGGCCTGGGTACGGCTGCAGAGCTCATAGCAGGGGCGGGGGACCCCTTATCTGGCCCATGTGGACATAGGGCTCAGAAGCACATGTGTTCCTTGACACTCGTGAAGAGACCCCCGAACCCTACACTGGGGCTGCGGTCTGGATCAGGCATGTTTAATGAGCTCTCAAGGTGATTTTGGGGCCTACTGCTTTAGGATCCCCAGTGCAAGGAGGTGAGTAGAGGTTGGGAAGGGGAGGAGTTCACAGCACCGGGCTTCATGCAGTAACCCCTCCCAGACTTCCTTGCGTATGTCTTTCCTCTGTAGACACTGTGAGCGTGTGCAGGGCCCAGATGATACTTATTCTTTCTGTGTCCCTCCCAGCATCTAAAACCTAAGTGCAAACTACCTAAAGCAGCTATTTCCTATGCTGAGTTTTGACAATAGCAGGTCCCGCCCATTATCTCAAAGAGTCTAAAAATACAATTACATAATCATTTCTTCTTAATGAAGTCCATACTCACAAAACATAGCCAATAAAAAATATGATTAAATGTTCAATCTTACCATTTTCTTGCTTATCAAATTGGCTAGGATAAAAAAGATGTTTATGAGGGTGTGGTTAGAGTGAATCTGTTAGAAAGAATGCAAAAGGCACCAACTGTCCCTGATGCACTTTGACGATATATGTCAAGACCTAGAAAAAGATTTATACACTCCAACCTAGTAATTTCACTTCATGACATTTTTCATAAGGGAATAAACAAGGTCATAACTATTGGTAAGCAGTCTAAATATAACAAAAAAGGGGAGTGGTTAAACACATAAGGAATACAAAGATGCTTTCTATTATATATGCATTGGAGGTGGACTTAGAAAAATGCTAATATGTGAAAGGGACATGGTATAAAGCACACACAGTTCCTGTCTTCTAATGCTCTTTGAGTGGTAGAATATTCCATGGATACTTTTTAACTACCTGCCTACTACTGGGCTGTGATTGCTCAATGTTTTCAGAACTGTCTATAACTAACACGCATTGTGATCATAGTAAAACAGGTAACAGATCGGATGCACAATTCAAATGCTGAAAAGGAATGCCTGATCATACCAGCCTCCCACAGAACTCTCTCCACACAGATTCTAGTATTGCTCCCTATCACGTTTCTCCCCGCTCAGGATCCCTCACTGTATGGAAAGGATAAACTCTAAAGTCTTTAGCAGGGCATCCTAGGGCCGTTTCTGACCCAACCTCAACCCACGTGTCCAGCCTCGCCCCTAGCTACTCCTTCCACCTTCCTTCCTTACACACCATGGAGAGCCACCACTTTGAATTTCCTGGTCATACTGTGTCTTCTTGTGTCTGCGTGACTGGGTGGGCTGATTCTTTGGCCCAGAACTCTTCTCCTCTTTCATTGTTTCATAAACTCCCCAATTCAGCTTTCTCACCATTTTCTTAAAACCTTTCCATTGAAACCTCAGAAAAAATTAAGCGTTTCTCTGTGCATTCAGTGCAAGTTTTAAAACTTCTCTGTTAGGGCCAGTGCTGTGATGTAGTGGGTAAAGTCATTGCCTGTGATGCCAGCATCTCATATGGGTGTCAGTTTGAGTCCTGACTGCTCCACTTCCAATCCAGCTCCCTGCCATTGCACCTGGGAAAGCAGTGGAGGATGGCCCAAATGTTTGGGAGGCCCTGCACCCATGTGGGAGACCCAGAAGTAGGTTCTGGCTCCTGGCTTCGGGAAGTCACTATTATCAGGTTAAAGCTGATGTGAACTCCTTCACTGAAGGGACTATGTTTTGAAGAAAATTGAACCTTGGATTTGGAGTCAGCCTGACTGCATTCCAACGTGAGGCTCTACCACTGTTAGGTGGTGGGCAAGTCATTTAACTGCTTTGAGTCTCTGCATTTGCTGCTTGAGAACAGAAAGACATAAGTCTGCCTCCCCAAGTTACTGCTAGGACCAATATTTGGCACTGTTTGTAAAAGTATTTTTGTACTCAACAAACATCTTCCAAATATGAGTTGCTATTACTGTTGTTATTATAGTCTTTTACAGGTCTCACTCAACAAAGAACATTGCCTGTTTGGGAAAATGTTATATTCCAGAAAATATGATGACTTGATTGAATGAATATGGGAGAAATTTAGTTTCTCCCATACTTAGTTTATTCACAGAGGATGAAGCAGAAATTGCATCCAGTGACTTGCATCACTACTCCTCGCCATGGGCCTTACTAAACCCCTTCCCCACCTCCCTGGACACATGCGCATCCCCTCAGGATCCAGCCTTTATCTCTGATAAAGAAATGCATGCTGAAAGGATATAATGGGCTCACATTCCGAAAATGCAGTTTCATTTCATTTAAACCAAGGTTTTATGGATACTGTGCCTGAACTCAACAGGCGGGTGCGGGGACTAGTTTTGGACAGGCAGAGCTTCCAGCACCTCTTAAATCACATCACACGGCAGTTGCCTGCTCCACCTACACACAGGGCGGGCCTGAATTCATAAGACCGGTCGCTAGCGCAGGCCGAGACTGAAAACTCTTTTCCCATCTGATGACTAATGCTGTCTCTGCTTTCAGAAAGGCAAAGCTCCATATACAAACCCTACCAATGGGTTTTCCTTTCCTTGCTCCGAAGGGGTTGGGGGTGGTAATGTAGTGTGTGAGTGTGTGTGTGTGTGTGACTGTGTGTGTGTGTGTGTGTGCTCGTATTCCTCCAACGATTGAAGAATCCTGAAATGAACCTCTATGGGAAACCCCTGACAACGTCCTGTAGATGGTTTTGCATGGGAAATTGAAACAAGTTGGCAGGAAGAAGAATTCTGTCTGTATAATTCAAAGCAGATATTTTACTGAGGGAAAAAGCAAATCAGAAATTTGCTGTCAGTCCTTGAAATTTTATTAGTTACAAAAAAAGTCATATATTAGCCCCTTGCATTAAATCCAGATAGAATGTATCCCCCATCCCCCAGTGATATTCCTAAAACACATCTTTGAGCATGCAATACAAGTCTAGTTCCTCATGAAAGCTATAAGACTCAGGAGTGGCGGCCTGGGACTCTATCATGTGCTCTTAGATGCTGCTCTGCTTCTCAGCTCCAGAGATAAATGAAAAGATAACAATGAGACTTGAGAATAATTAAAATAGTTAATGCTCCTTCTGATACGGAGGATAATCTAATGAAAGATTTCCTGATGAGTAGATTCAGAGAGACAGTGTTTTCCGTAAGAACTCTTGATAAAGGCTGGTGGTAAAGAC